CCGCGCGCGATCGACGTTTCCATTCTCACTTGCGTGCGCCTATCGGACTATTGTTCGACATACGCAGCTCGCGTTCGCGGCGCGAGTACTCGAGCGCGAGCGTGCCCTGCGAGGGTTGCTCCGAAGACAATAGCGGGGCGCGCGGATCGCGGGAACGGGCGGCCCTCTCGACAAACCAAGCCAAGATGCGCCGTTCTTTGTCCCTTTTTTCACTCGTCGCTCGCGCCATTGTCTTATTCGCGCTGTATATCGATCGGCCGGTAATCAGGCACGTTGATACGTCGATTGGCTGTGCAGGCCTCGCCGCGGGCGTGCCGGCGTGCGGGAGAGCTCTGGCCCTCCGCTCGAACGCTACCTCGAGCGAGCAATTAGCGGGGCAGAAGGCGAGAGCACAGCCGAAGAAAGGCGGACGGAGCGCAATTATCCGCGAGCGCCGACCGATCGATCGGACGAATCCTCGTTCCCGCGCGATCAAATGTCGGCGCGCCGCTTATTGCGCGCGTCGTCGCTGGGTTTTTTCCGCACGGCCCGACGAATTCGGGGCTGCCGACGGGCATTCTTCGGCGGCGCTCCCGCGCCCCTGCCGGATTCCTTGGCCGCGCAAAGTGCCGCCGCGTTCCGTTCGTTCCTCTCGCTCTCTGCCGCCGCTAAATTAGCCTTGCCGCCGCCGCCGCCGTCGTCGTCGTGGGAAACCGGCGCTCTTCGCCTGCAACGCTAGCTCGTGCGCTCGGTGCGACCGTCAATTTCGCGAAATTACGCGCGTTACCCCGCGATCGCGACGGCGGAGGTGCCTTTCCTAGGTTCGGCAGGCGGCTCGAAGCTTTCGCAAGCTGCCGATCGTGACCGGCGCCGATGGCTCGGCTCGAGCGGCTGCCGGCAGAAGGAGACGCCGGGCCGTAATCGCCGGACAAGTTGCGCCGCAACTGCTAGCTGCGCGCACTCGCCACGGGGCCGACGCCGCGAACCCAGCCGAGATCGCTCTTTACGAGCGCCTCCACATCGCGCACGCTCGTTTCTCCGCGCTCCTCGTGCCGGAGCCGTCGGCTCGGGCGTGCGCTTCGAGCAACGATCGACGATTAAATTGCAAGCCTCGTAAAGCCGTTTCGTTCGGCCGATCGTTCGGCCGATCGTCCGTGGCGCTGCTCGCGCGCCTCAATTAATACTCGTCGTGCGACGGCAGTCCGCTTCGAGGAAGTGAGTCATCAGCCGCGCTGCACACAACGCTATTTCAAGCTGCTTTGCACTCGCGCAGGACACCTGCAGCGGCCACCTATTAATGTCAAGCAAGGTGCGCTGCCGCTATACCCGCGCGCCGTTCAGCTTTCAACCGAACAAACTAATGCAGCTCCACACGAGCCCGATGTCTTATTCCGCATGCCAGTGGACAACCAACGAAGCCGGAAAGTCACTCGTCGATGCGTTTTCCAGCTCGAACTTTGCTCCTTATCCGAGCGCAGACGCGAGACTGCGCAGACCGTCCCGCACTGCGCGTTGGCAATCAATTTCGTTGAGAGCCGGAAACGGCACGGTTCGCGGCGTCGCAAGCCGCCAAACTTTCACAATCGTCAAATTTCCATCGAGTTTTCTCCTTCGTAGCGGCCCCCGACATTACAGCTGGCAGTACCGCAGCGAGCGTTTCCGTTCGGTTCACGCACGCGCGCGGGCGCAGCCCGTTAACCCGCGATGCGGACGAGTTGACTTTGTTCGAGGCGCTGCGAGCATCCGAAATAATTGACTCGTTGTTCCGAAAGTTCTTTTTGAAAGGTTTCCTCGTGAAAAGTGGAGCACAACGTAACGGTCTCTTTTCGTAACAGCTACTGCTCCTCGGCGGTTTTCCGTTTCTTGCCTTGCGCTGGGATAGACGAAAGTAAGAAATCCGTGTGGGTTGACGAGGAGCCGCGGAGCCGCAGGGCAGTTGAGAACGCAGGTCGGCAACAAGAACGGAGCAACGTTGAGGCATCGGTGGGAAACGAGAGGGAGAAAAAGAAGCGTGGAATGCGAGCCTGCGCGTGCGCGTGCGTGCGCGAGCAAGCGAGAAAAAGGAAGAGTTGAGCGAGCCGAGCGCTTAATCAAAGCGCGTCGCGAAGGTCGCTGCTAGGTGGGATAGCGGGGAAGAATCGAGACCGATTAGAGCGACACGTCTGCTGGGCTTATCTGGCGCTGGCTATCGGCGCGGAGTCTTTCACATGCCAAGGGAAAACTTGCGAGTTTTTTCTCTCTCTCTCTCTCTCGACGAGCAACCCCATTGTCCGTGTCAGGACAGGCCGCCGCCGCCGCCGCCGCCGCCGCCACCGAAGTCTTATCTTTGCCCCCGTACACGTGACTAGTCTATGAGGGGCGTTTTCTGACAGACAGACGCAACGCTGATATGCCCAAAGTAAGAAAGAAGAGAAAAGCAAGTGCGGGCCAACGGTGGTCGCTCGTGATAAACGGGCAAGCAAATGGAAGCGACGTAGCTCGCTTCTAATTGCAATTTCAATGCGCAAATCGGATCAAAAACGAGAACGCGAACAATCGGAGTGGAGTGAGGTCTCGTGCGCGAGCGTCAGTGTCCAGAGTGTCGGATCGAACTCGATCTGTTCGAACGTCGATGGCGGGGCAGGCGCCCGTCGCGAGTCGAGGAACGGGCCAGTGGCGCACTCGGCAAAATGCCGTTCTCGCGAACGTGCCGACTGCCAAAGCGGCCTCTTCCATTTCCATATACTCTCGAAACGCGGCCGGAGGCTGTCACGTCGCAACAATAGCCGGGACATCTGCCGCGCGCGTGCCTGGCTCGAGCGAACGCGTGCAATCGAAGCGCGCGTTGCACGCGTATATGCGCACGAGGACACGCGAACCGCGAGAAGAAAAGCCGGAAAGTGGCGGGGGGATCGCGGAGCAGCAGCCTAGTAGCGGCAGAGAAAAAAAAGCGAGCCTGCAGCGGCGGCGGCGTCAAGAGGAAATAGAAGCGTCGAGTGATGGACAGTCCGATATTGTGTATCGGAGTAGCTGTATACTCGCTCGCGGCAGGCCGTTGCTCTCTCGTGCCACGGCAGGCGGAAAGCTCTGCGCGCTGCGATTCGGCCAGCGCAACGAATCGCCGCCGTTCCTCTTCTCTGACGCTTTCTTACTCTTCTTTTCTTTTTCTTTTTCGACAATTATGCCCGATGATCGATGGCTGCGTCGCGACTCTGCGCGTTGAGTAGCGTGCAAGATTTTCGACCAGAGTGAGCGATTGCGCTTCTTTATTGCTTTTGTCGGTTAAAAGTCGCGCTGCGTAGGCTACGCACTGTCGAGGAAAAAGTGCTCGGCTTGCTAATTGATGCTTCGGCTAGTGCACTAATATCTGCAACGTATTATCCCAGGGTGCCGGCAAATTGGCGCGCTGCGCTCGTTCTTTATCGGCGCGTTCGTTCGATAGCTAATGCGCTCGGCGGAAGTATAGGGCGCGAAGTGCGACTGGCTGAAATTACTCGATAAAAAGGCAGGCTAATGAGCAGAGAAGAATCAGTTAGAAGCGACGAGCGAAAATGGAGCCGAACGCCGGAGAAACGCCAGCCGAATTGAATGGCGCGCGGGGCGCAGCTGCAAAGCGTGAAATTAGCGGCAAATTCGCGCTCGCGCTGGCTGCTAGGAGCGCGGGGATCGACCAGCTAATTGAAATTCGCCCTTGGCCTTTGATGTTATCGAGGGATACAAGTTGCAGGAAAAGCGTCGGACGATCACGCATCACCGCAGCCCTGCTGCACGCCCGAGTATAATGATAACCTCTCTCTCTCTCTCTCTCTCTCTTTCCATTCGCTTCGTCTGGCTGCCTGGCTGCGGCTCAATATGTCATTTCCTCTCTTTCACCACCAGGCCGCAGCCATTAACTTTAATTACATTCATTATCATCAACCGAGGAATTTATCTCGATTGACCCTTTGATTTTTATTCTACATGCCCCCCCCCCTCGCACCTACACGCTTGCCCATTTTGCATTCGCCTTTCTTTGGCGTTCTGCTAGCTGATTCGAACATCGGCTATGCCTTCGTGCGTAATCGGAATTACTTTTTCATTTTATCGCGTGCACTGGCGTACGAAGAACGCTCGGACGAACGCGCATAATGATCAGACATTTCAATAAAAACGAAATTGATAATGCGCTGCGCGCGTGCGGCGTTGCGGCTTGTTGGAGTAACGATTAAGCACAGCTAACCAGGCTGCTTATGGCGAATGCCAATCAGCGCGGACGCCGCACAATCTTCCGTGTTTGTACGTTGCGCGCAGCCGAGCCTATAGACTACTTTTAATCGAGCCTTCTTTTCAACATCGTCGTGCCTATTTTTTAACGCTGTTCCTCGCTGCAATTGCTCTCTGGTTTTAATAAACCTTGACAGCTTTTCAAAGTAAACGACCGATTGATTGCTACGGTGACGGCGGATAATTTAATGAAATTGTCGTAGCTGCTCTGGAACGGGCTGGCAAGCCGTACGCATCCTAAATTTGAATATAAGTAAGAGGCGAATACGACTCTGAGAGGCTTTATTGGATGGGTCGAAAAAATGAGGAGCTAGCCCGAATGGGTTTTATCGGACGGCGACAGTTATTCGTGCGATGCAAGGGGTAGAGGCTCCCTATTCCGCTGAAATCAATTAGGCATAACGAAGGCTATGCGCTGGCACGATTGAGAAGACATCATAATGCACGCGCTACAGGAGAGAGCCCGAAAGAAGGGTTGCATATTAAGTTACGCATTAGGAGAGACGAGATTGACGACATTCGCAGAGGTCCTTTTATAAATAATGCCTCGTCGAAAATTGCGACGCGAGCGCGAACCTCTCGCGGGACGTTGCCAGCACTTTCTCTTCCGCTCAATTATTCACAACGGCCGATTAATTGGCGGCCTGCTTCGCGTTCGAATCTTCCGTAGATGCGATATTTGTCGGCAACGCTATCGCTCGAGTTGAGTTGAAGCGTCGCCGCTAGCAGTCGATCGCGAATAGTTGCTGCAAAAAAATAGCTCGCGAATAGTTGCTTACCTTGAGAGGGTCCGACTTTTCCATGTGTTGCTCGTAGGTCTGCGAGGCTCGCGACGTTGAGTGCTTTCTTGGCTGGGCAGAGCCATCGTGCGGGTGGCGCATAAACTCGATTCGTCCACCCTCCACGACGATATTCGGCGCGGGAGGAAAATTGTCTACGTTACCGACGGTATTGTCGTAGTAGTTCAAAAGCCCGGCTTTTTCTCCGTACAGGGGATGAATTTGTCTGCAACAGTCGGCAAAAGAGGGATGCCTCGTTACAATGGTTGCGTCCAGTGAAATACGTCAAATACTACGTAACGCGCTCACTGCTTTTAGACTCGCGATTTGCAGAACAGAGATAAGCTGCTTCTGATGACAATTGGAGCGCAGCTCATTGCGCTTGCAACAAATCACGCGCGTCATTCGATTCGAGAAGCAATAAAAAGGCCAAGCAGATGACGCAGTGAGCTACTTCGTATTTTTATCAACTTAATTCTTAATTGTTGATAGGGCGACGGTGCACCGACTCACCTAGGCGAAGGCATAGGACGAGGTTTGTCGAGTGGTAATTCCGAGCCCAAAGTCGTGTCAGTTCCACCTCCTCGGTCACCGGAAGCCCTGCAAACACAGAATAATCGGACTGTCAGTTGATTTAGCTCTGGAGAGCCAATCGTCTATCTGCAACTCGTGAGCCGAGAAAACCTGCTACATGCGAGCAACGCCAGGTCATCGGTCTAGGGATTATGCCTATATCGTGTTAACTGCATACTAGACCTGCTAAGATTCACCTTTGCCACTTTATCTTTGATTCGCCGTGTCTCGATCACGCAATGCCGGCGCGACTAATGGACAGTCGCTCCGCGTAAGGAATTGTGCTACACACGACTTAAGGGTGAAGGTCGCACATTTCAAAGGCAAACGTGTTGTTTGGCCTGTTGTTGGTCCGTTCAGAAATGCGTTTCTATGCGTTTGCACTTTCGATTGCAAAATCTCACACCGGTCTACTTGCCCGACAACACTCCTATTGATCCATTGATTTACGAGTCCATTTATCTTGGCACATGAAGGTAGTCAAGCCCAATGTTACGTATAGGGGTTGTCTTTTATTTGTCCACGTGGAGCTGACATGCCTGCGTATATACAGCTACCGCGTTACACGACCAGTTCAAATAGGCATTCTGATTTCAAGGCACAGTTTTTTCCTGTTATATTTTTTGTCCAGTCTACTTTTTACCTACATTTATGTAAGATGTCTTCGAAACGCAAGCAGCTCTCGGTTCTAGAACTGATGATTATTCAGGAATTATTCCTCGTGTGTTCACATCAATTATACGCTTACTCTCACTATTGTTATAGCGACTTTCATTTAATTCATTTTTACAGCTACAAATAATCAGGCGCTTTTTCAAAACCTCTCTGAAATGCTGCTCTGTCCGATAACTACTAAAATTAGACAGCCTTTTTAAGACAAGATTTGATTATACTGGAAGCATCGTTACTTTCGATTTAATGATCTACCCTTTACATTATCATTATATGCATTTCTTTTAATTTGCACTCTTCGGCTTATTTGAGTCATAAACAAGCGTTTGACCGGTTCCTTTTCTTAGTATTTAGTATTTTTCTCTTTACGAATCTACTCTTGAATTGCAGCGCCCTTTCAGACCCATAAAAATGCCCATTATGATTTGGTTTTATCGCGCTGTTTTTGCCTCACGCCAGCATTTCAGCAAAAATTGAAACCAGGCACACAAGCAAGTATTTTTTAATGTTCTTTTATTTTTGGCAAAACCAGTGGATGCGACTGCTGTAATAGTTCACGTAAAGACTTTAAGCGATTCATTTACATTTGATTAATTGTCATGCGCGCAAAGATAAGTTGCGTTAGATGGCAGTCTTTCAAGAATGAGATTATTTCATTTTTGGTATTTTTGGCATTCGGGTAGACGCGTGATTTGAGTGGTATTGGCCGACATTCAGGACGAGCAGAGCGCGCTGCTCGACACTTCCAATTGAGACTATATTGACTGCAATATGGTCACGCAAACGTCGCCATTACCGTGTTTACAATTGTTTCATCGTTTACCGTTGATCATTCAAACAAGTCTGACTTCCACGATCGCTTTATCTTTTCATCGCAAATTGCTTTTACTTTTCATAAAAATATTTATTTGCAGCTTTCACATCGATAAATGCTACTGGGCTAATACTACAAGCCAAAAGTTGTAAAAACAGCAGGCCATTTAAAATTATGAGCATAAGCTAGTTTAAGAAATAGGAAAAAGTAAGACGCACAGTTTACCTAATTAGATTCCACTTTCGATCGTACGTAGTTACTCGAAAAATAGAAAGCTTTTAAGCCGCCACTGGTAAAAGATCAAAGAAGAATTGCAGGTTATACTGCATAGCGCGTAGATAATACTACGAGCAGCAGCTGCTGCTGCTGCTGCTCCAACGTGTGGAATGTAAAATGCAGCATGCAAAAGATTATAGAACAAATTAATTAAAGAGTAATTTTCAGGTAAAATAAAAGACAATGCAGACGTAGCCGGATATGAAATCACAGTGAAGAGGGGAATACTGCAGCACGGTTGTTTAGAGGCGAGCGTGACGAAACGGCTGCGGCGGATCCGCCCGGAGATGATCTTGGCGCATCCACATTGAGTAATTACGGTCGCGCGCACTTACTCCACTTTGAATTATTAGCTGCGCGTGTGTGCATTTAGATTACCCACGGACGCCTGTAATCAGGCTCTGAAATAGCTTTTCTTCGGCAACAACCGAAATATCTTACGAACCACTGAATATCTTGGTCAATGCGTTATACTCTCCTGCTAGAACTGCACCACGCGTGTTCTATCGCCTTCCCAGCGATAGAAATAAGCCCAGCACTATAACTATATCAACATTATTAGGACCTGCACACCACTTATTTTTCAAGTAATCGTGTCTTATATTTTCGCCAACCTCGCCAATTTGCTTTTCTATGCGTTCAATCATTCATCTGGCAAAGAACATAAAGCTATCTACAGACCACAGTCTATTCTATACCATACTGAGCTTTGTCTATTGCTATTTTATGCAACTGCTTTTAAACATGACTCCGTTGCAGAGTTGTCAGTTAATTTTAATTATTTTTATCCTATTACCCATTTTACTTAATAATCTGAAATTTCGCTAAAAGCTATAGTTTTGTATGTCGAATAAAAGAGGATAAAATATACTATAATACGATGAAATGACAGCCACAGCAGTCTAATTGGCTACTGAAATCGGTTAATATAATTATTGTTCATATATTTTCTAGTAACGTGTATCCGAGGAAAAATGTAAGATAGTAAAAATCGAGTTGAACACTGATAAGCGAGAAAAGGTCGTTGACTGGAAAGCAGTGAATGGAGATTCGAGACGTCAAGTACAATAGAGTGTGAAGACGTATATCTCAAAAGAGGCTTGAAGAGCTTTTTAGAGGCTATAGTGCCCTTTAACAACTTTTTCTTGCTTTTATCGTAGCACTTTAATATATGAAAAAACTGGATTTCATGAGGTTACCGTTAGTTTCTCTGCCGAAAGAGTTTGAAAATACAATTTACAACGCGATGATTGCACCGCGAAAATTGTTTCGTGATCTGTCTATCTATGTTTTGGTGTCGGTTTGAATTTCGATCTGCCGAATAGGTAAACCAATTATCTTTCTCTGCTTTTATGATTGTGGCTTGCTGTCTAACAGATTTCTACTACTTCGGTTAATTAACAGTCCATTTGCATACAATAAGTTTTACAGAGTTGACCAATTAGATATATATTCAATGACACGTTTACGCCAGCGTCCGTTGTTTTCTCGCCTGCTTTCTAGCTAAGAAAGCTAACCTAATACGTACGCTTTATTACCAGCTAATCATGTTCCGTCAGGTTCCTGCGTGTGCAGTAATACAAGTTTGTAGTACATTTGTCACAGTCAAGTTTTATTAATACATTTGACGGATATTACAAGCAGTAAAACGTCTAATTTAATGTAAATATGTAGGAGTTAGTCGTTAGAGCTGAAGGCATCCCAGTGTTCGGTATGTGAATTTCAGTATAAAAGGCGAAGGTACGTTTAGGTAGATGAGAAAAAGTGCGCATATGCGAGTCAGCTAAACTGATATAAAGTAATGAAGCAAATGGGTACCAATTAGCGAGGACCAGTGGAGTGGTCGGTACGCGGCGGTCGAGCGGGCCAGACATCGGCAATCGGTCGTTCCAAATAATCGACGGCGCCGAACAGCAGCAGCCAAAATGGGAAAGGCTAAATGAGAACGTAAAATGAAAGAGAAACGAACGATGGGCACCGCATCGGACTGCAAGCCAGCTCCAAGTCTGATCGCGTCATTCCGTTGGCGCGGCTTTTGCCAATTTGCCTGCCTGTCATATCTCACGCGCGACTGCATCCTATTGCATTCGAAAGCCAGCTGCCAAAACTGTTTTGTTATACATTGGTACGCCGCTTAGTTCAGGTGTTTGCCGATGCGCCCGAAACCAACTGCAGAGCCGACGCGCGACGGCTGCCCCGCCGAGATGCGTCACAACAAAGTCATCAATTTTCCATAAAACGTGCATTGCACCGGATACACTCGATACTTTGACCATCGCGGTGCTGCATACTTTGCATGTTGTTTGAATTCCACAAGGGAATCCGATGTTGTGGCATGAAAATTTGTGCAGTTGTCGCTTGTTGACACAAGTTGCCTTTGCTTCAACGTTTTAACGTTTCGACGTGTCAGTCTCAATGAACCACAATGAGAATCTGGCGGTTGGCTGAACGCAGTCGAAAACGTGAGGCAATATCAAAGGACTGGTTTAGTTGTTAATTTGATTAGCGTCGTTCGCATGCACCAGACGGAGAAAGCGGTTTCTCCCCACTACCTTTCGTCTCTAATACGCAAGTACGCCCACGCTCCTTGCTTATCGATTCCGCGCCCGCTGACGTAATTTAATTTATTGAACAACAAAATACCACGTAATTCTGCCCCTGCAGCGCATTTCAACCTGCTACCTGAACGACTACATAAACGTCCAATCAATTATACCTGCACGCGAAGATCTTGTAACAAGCATTTCGATGGTATTACCTGCAAATTATCGGACGAACGAAGCTCTTTTTTTCACGCTCATCATTATGCATCGATCGTACGTTATTGTTATTATAATCGGCAAAGCGGCTTGTCGTGTGCGCACGCTCAACGTCACAGGCATTTTGTCTAAAGCAAAACTTTCAAAAGGAAGAGTTTCGTCGATTCTTCTTCGCGTGCGGCCGAGCGATGGAAATTCAAAATGAGTCATCGATAAGTCTCGCGCATCTGCCGTTCGAACTGTTTTAGCGCGAGGCTCCATTCAGTAGAGCTCGCCTGATCCCACGAGTGAAAAATGCAGCGTTCTGCTTAGTACCTAAATAAAATACGGCGTTGGACATGTAGGCTCCAATGTTTCATTCAAAATTGCCGATTATGGCAAGCTCGATAAAAAAATTTGACTCGCGTAATACCGACAATTGAATTCGGCGGCGATTCACGATTTCAATACGTATTTATTAAAGCATAATGCAATTACACGAACACAGCTCATTAATGAAATAATGACAAGTAAATTATTCAAAGTTTAATGGGCCGTTGCAAACAAAATTAGCTAGACAATCAGTGGAATGGTTCAGCGGTAATCGTTGGCCTCTACAAAAGCTCAATTTTGCTCAATGCATCTGAGCGTAAATCCAATTAAATTGTAACGCACATCGTGCATACGTACACGGTCGTTCGACTCGAATGCGGCAAGTCGAAGGCGTATCAAAGCATCGTTTAACTTTGGAACTGCAATTAGAGGCCTATTGCATCATTCGATGATGCAAGCGATGCAAGGCTGGTAAGGCCAATAAAAATAAAAGAGGAAAGCGATCTGGCAGGAGGCAGAGGCCAAATGGAATCGACGGGACTGTTTTGGCGCAGCCTCGGCGGCGTATATTGGGATGGCGTGAAGCCAGGCATTTCCTCTGGCCGTCCGATCGTCAGGAGCTGACGTCGGGAATTGCCGGAAGGACGACGGAGTTGTCGATAATCGCTGGACGATGCATCCCGGATGGAGCGGCCGAAAGGGCAAGGGCAAAAAGAGCCGAGCGCGCGTCGAGCGGCAGCGGGGCTCTCTCTCTCTCTCTCTCTCTGGAAGAATTGGTTTTTGCAGCAGCATCGTCTGGCAGCCGGCGCAGCCAGCCTTGGCTCTCGGCGAAGAGCCGTGGCGCGCTAGAAAGGCGCTCGCCGGCGCAGTGACGGTGCGATCGGGAGAGCGCGGAGAGAGAGAGAGAGAGACGCCGCGGAGTGCGGCTCGCGCTCGACCGAGACAGGCAGGCTCTGGCCTGAAAACGGGCAGCGAGTTCAACGACACCTTCGCAGCTGACTAAAGGCTGTGTGCACGAGTGTGTGCGCGCGTGTGCTCTGACCGCGCGATCTAGACAAACGCGAGCGAAACCGGCGCGAGACAGCCTGCAAGGATGCGGCTCTTCTGGCCTGCTTCTCGGCTGCGCGGCGCCGCAGCCAGAGGGGACAGGAGACGGAGAAGCGGCGCGAAAGAGAAGCCGATGAGCGGGATAACTATTTTCCGCGGGCCGCTGCAGCTTCCGCGAATATCGCCCAGCGCGGCGAGAAAAGTTTCTTGGCCTCGGTTCAGAAGATGGTGTGCCGTGCCGTGCCGCCGCCGCCGCCTGCAAAATTCATACTTTGGCCGCGCGACTATTACTGGCTCGCTCGGTCGCTCGCGCCGACTCCACTCGGCTCGCCTTTGCTCCGCCGCTTTCGAGCCACTGCAGCGCTGCGCGCAGAGGCATGCGCCTCCTCCCTCGCGCGACCGCCGTCTCGCTCGCTCGCGCTCTGTCTTTGCCACCCACGCCCGCGACGTTCGTCGCTATCCGCTGCGCTACAACTCAATCGGCTCGATCCGGTCGCCCGCGCCTCGCCCTACTTTTCCGCAATCGGCCGGAGTCCTCGGTCCAATTTCACGACGCTCATCGCGAACGCGCGGCCGGCACGCAGCAGCCCCTTGCGGCCCGATCGCTAAATGTGCTCTGATTTATGAAGTCCTGAGCGCCCGAAGTGCGCCTACGGCTTTCCGCGCTGTATTTTTAACCCGAGACGCAGCCAGTGCTCGGGCATGCTGCGCCGAGCCGCTGCAGCATAAACAAACCGAGTTCTCCGAGCTTTGGACTGCGATCTCGAGGGTTTGTCGTTGGTCGCTCGCTCGCTCGCTCGCTCGCTCGTCTCGCCGATCACGGGACGACTCTGCTGCGGCACGCGCGACGTCGACAATGAGCGAGCAGTCGCCGAACGCAGAGCTGTCCTACTGGTTCAACTGACTAACTGACGCGACGCGTAAAAATGGGCACAGCTCCAGAATCACTTGCGCAACTGCGGCCGTGCCAGTCGACTCGGAGCCGCGCGCACGTTTGTTTATTTCACTCTGTTTACTTTGTCGCTCGCTCTCCCTTCTCTGGCTTCTCGCTCTGGCTCGATCTACAACTGGATCCACGCGACAGATCGACTACGCACATCGTCGCGTATAACTGTGACATTTCCGGAAGAGCTCACGCTCGCCATGCTTCTTCAGCTGATCCGTCTACCGCGGCTTCCTCCTCTAGGCACGCTCCAGCAGTTTCGCTTATTCCCCCTGGTTGGATTTCGAGACGTGCAAGATTTCCACGCAGAGAGGCTTCGTCGCTAATCACTGGCAGATATCTTCGCGCGCGACACCAGTTTGCGACGTAAAAAAATCAAGTTTCCTCGGGGTATACGCGATCGACACGCGCGTGCTCGTTGTGGCAGTTGAGCGGATCGCTGCTCCGAGCCAAAGAGAACGATCTGCGCGGTCAAGTCGATCTCAATTGTTCGAAGGCCTTTTCGCAAGACTGCTCGAAAGCGAAGCGTCAAGCCGAAGATAATCCAGCTGAAGTGCGCGACGGCGGAGCAATTGTCGAAACGCCAAGCGAAGGAGACGAGGGAAATGGCGCTGAAAAACCAGCTGCAAGTTGATATGAAAACGAGAGGAAGAAGAAACCTGTTTGGACGATAAGCGCGTGGCCCTGGCGAAATTCGCGGAGGCCTTGGGCGTCGGTGCGAAAGCTCGAAAACACGAGGAATGACAAAGAGAAAGAAGACACCAGGGGGATCGGAAAGGAAGAGGCGATCGGCAGGCGCCGATCCAAGGAGGAGCCGAGCGAGCGCAAGTTGGAAAGGAAGGCGCGCGAGCTTGGCGAGAGACGGGCGTAAGCGCTAATAGAGCAGCAGCGGCCAATGAGTATCGGCCGCAGCGCATATCTGGCGAGGGAGCTGCGCGAGTGCTTGCGACGCCGCGCTCCGAAAATAATGCGCGCAGCCGCTGCTTCTCGGAATCCAATTTCGCCGTAAGTGTCTCCGTGCTCGCGCTCGTTCTCTTGCATAGCGCTCGTGCACGGGCGTGTGATGCGCACCGCGCAGCAAACCACCGGAACAGCTGCAGTTCAGCAGCCTCCGGTGCCCCCCGAGCGTCAGCCACCGAATGCTCGCGCGCTCGTCGACGTACTCGTACGTGGGCGCGATCTAGCCTCCCCGAGCGCCGATCTCGTACGCGTAGCCGCACTCAGCCACACGAGCCCCGTACGTTCCCACCGATTCCTCGCTCCTTTACAACGTTTCTCAACTCGAACAGTCCGCCGCCTCACTGGGGCTCACCGTCCTTTTGTCCGCTTCAATCCTACGTTATTATGCGTTATTAAGGCATCGTCGGCCAAGTGCATCTGCCAGACAGTCCAGTGATTAGCAATGCTTGTACAAGTTCTCACGTGGAAACTCGAGGCTCGGCATTTCTTTATCTAGGTCGCAAGGACTCGCAAGGCTATCGTTATCGAATTCGCCAACTGTCTGTCCCCTTGAGAATTGCCTTTTTACTAGGTTGACCGGGATCAACGCCAGGAAGCTATTTCTGAAAGAGGTCGATTATTTGTGCTAACTTTGATGCTATCCGCTGGCCTGCGCACATTTACGACACTTACGATTCTTCGATTCTCATCTTGCCACGGAAATATCTCTAGTCGAACAAAAGTATAATGACTATCGCTTACAGTCGTCTAACTTCAAAACGCGATCCAAATGCTGCAAGTGACCCGCGTGATACGTTTTCCAACTCGCTCTCGTCTCGTCTGAATTTTTCAGAAATAAGCCATCCTTGACATAACGTTTTTGGGAAATTTAGAGTGCTGCTTATTAGACATCAAGTGAAAATTGACTGATATACTTCGTGTACGCATGCTTTTACCCTTTGTATCCTCGCAAATGGTAGGCAAACTACCGTGAGATAAGCATTTATCTGGAAAAGCCATTTATCAATGTACGTCAACGTCGAAAGTGTTGCAAACCTCACTTAATAACGCTATCGTTGGTTTCCCCCTGTACTCGCACAAGAATGCATACGAGTAGAATTGGGCTGAATTATACGAGTTGTTCAATAATACGTAGAAGGCGAAAGCACGGGCACTTGCAAAAAGTGACTTTGCTGCTGGGCTGCTAGGGCTTACAGACTGACCGGAAGATATTGTCACGACAAAATGTAGTTTTTTAAGAAATGCGCAATGAAACTGGCAACAGCGTAAAGGCGTCAAGTATCTCGCGCGATGGGTTTCTCCTGTTCTAAGACCAAAAATTCATCGGTGAAAGTTTATTGAGATGACTGAATTCGCCAAGAATTTGGCGATTACGTATTTCACTTTATAAAATTGAAATGTTGTAATAAAGCAATGAAGGTCGAGCGGTCGCAACTATTGCGATTGTTTTAAAATTGAAGTTTCTTTCGGCATAAGAGCAGCCGAACAGATCTATTTATAAGAAAGAACTCACCGTCTGGTAGGCTTCCAGCGACGTTTCAGTACTCCAAGCATTGGGAAAACGACGGGCGTCAGTGGAGCATAGATGAATTTTGATATTTTAGCTTGACGACAGCGATGCAGCTGCTCGCTGCACTGACTGCGTTAGCAATTAGAAGCACATCGGTAACGATCACTGCGAACTGTGGAAAGACTCGCTGCTTCGGTCGGTCGTGCGCGCGGAAAACTTGTGACATCGATGATTCAACGGTTCGTTCGCTGGCACTCTATCGATGTGCGCCGAAATCGCGGAGGCTCCAGAGAGTCGACGGATGAAATTGAGCAGCGCAAGCGAGCCCCGAGGCTGTCCGCGAGCTAAACCAAGAGTCAATAGCGGAGGCGAGGCAACTCCTGCTGCGATCAGTTGCCGCGTGCGTGCGAACCCACAGATTTCAAGGTCGGCTGCGAGGATTACTGGCCCGCGCGGTCCGCTGCTAGCTGAACAATCGATGCTCTAGTTTCACCTTTGCCCAAATACGCCGCTGTCCGACTGGCTTGATTAATAGAACGATGCGCTGCTCCGCGAGCTATTTTATTTTCAGCTTGCAACTGTGAGCTCATCCATCGCCCGCACGGGCAGACGCGTGGGCATTGTCAATTATCGTCCAAATCCATCTGTTGCCAGGAATCGAGTGAAAAGACGAGCGATGGAGCTGCCTACGGGCGACAAACGAGGCAACGATGAGGCGTCGATGGACGAGTCGACGGACGAGTCGACGGACAGCGAGTATTGAATTGCTAACGAGATAGAAAGTTGGACTGGCGAATAATTAGGCACACCGTTGGCTCGAAGCCGCGGCGCTCGGTCAATGGAAGTTTGATGGAAGCGCGACCGATGCCGACGGCAGCCGCATGAGTCCAGAATCGGCCGGTTGCTGGCTGTGTCACTGCGGCCGACTGTCACGAGCGAATCAGTGGCGAGCTGCTGGCTGATCGCGAGCGCCGTAAGACACGTACAAATTGGAAGCACGCGGATGCAAGAGCAGGCTATGGGTCGCGCGCACGAACCGGCCACACGCCAAGCTCGGTGTGAACTGCGTGCGACTGCGCGCCGGCCCGTGCAGGCGAGCAGCGCCAGCGAGAGAGGAGAGCGGCGGCGGAGCGCGGAGTGCTCGCCGAGAGGAAGCGGCAGGGAGGGGCGCGGCGAGCGGCGAGGCGAGCCGACGAGTGCGCTGCTGGCTGCGTCGAGAAAGCGAAAGACGACGGAGACTGAGAGAGACGGAAACACGAGGGCATGCGCACCGGTGCACTCCTCTCTCTCTCTCTCTCTCTCTCTCTCTCTCTCTCTCTCTCTCTCTCTTGCCCTCCGCTCTCTGCCTTCCCTGCCTGCGCGGATACACGTGCTTTCGGACCTCAACCATATGCCTTCCTCTGGATTTTCACTCAATTTCAATACCTACCGTTCTGCCTCGGGACACCTGCTCTGCCCCTGCCTGCCGTGCTAACCGACATCCGCTAAAATTCATTCAATTTCCGTTAATATTTTTGCACTCGGTACGCCCCGATCTCCTATTCGTATACGTTCACGGATAGTCCGTTTAAGCCAATTCGCCCGATTACTACTATTTTTCGGACATTTTTTTCTACACTGCTAGAGTATTTCGGCTGATGCCTTGGTTATTTGATCACCAAATTGAAAATTGAGCTGCTCAGTATTTCTTCGCGCGTATATTTTTTGCTTTTGTACAGGCGCACCATGCCGTTATTTTTCGTTCATCGCTAACTTGTCACAAATGCGCGAAACAGCTTAGAACGTTATCTGCAGTCAGCACAATGCCTCTATTTACTCCCAACAATTTTCGTCGATAAATTCTTCATCTGGATATCTGCAACGTCGATTTGAACAAACTCTTTGATTGCCGACCAACAATTGCAGATGAAGAGATATTCATTCTTTGATTTTTATATCAGACACTTTTTCTATATTCAAATACCAATTGAGAAACTTTAACCAGTTTTATTGAAAGATTAACATTTCAAATTTCAATTTAACGTTACGTGTATGTCGTATAATAACCATTTTTTTAAATAAGTACTACAATATTTCTTCCGATTTCTTGGTCAGTCGACTAATTGCAGGATTTGATATGAGCAGTCTTGCGATTGCCAACAGTCGGAACAACGATCGTCTCAATGCCGCTTTCTTCCGTAAGTCGGTAGTTTGAAGCCTGTTGGATCCTGCTAACTATAATAGTGTAAATAACGATTAGTATAATGAGATAACGTACATCTATATAAATTCTAATACATTACAAATTCATAATATTTGAAGTTAAATGCAATATCAAACTCTGCCTTCTTAATTGAGACCGTTACAAAAATAATTGTGAACGTTTATTCGACCAGTTGTACTAACAAATTATAAATTAACATTTATTGAATTCTGTTCACCAAAACACTGTCGAAAATTATTAATTTAGATTATTTACTAGTTTCAAAAGGTATGTAATAAAAAAATGGTTCCGGCCGGGATCGAACTGGCGACCTTCTGCGTGTAAAGCAGACGTGATAACCGCTACACCACGAAACCGTATTTATAAATGCTGATTCCTAATACACCATTTTAATTTAACGGAATATGGATACTAATTTCAAAACACTGTTTTTTAATTTATTTGTTAGTTTTGTTATTAAAACCTGCTCATTCGTGACCTTCCATTCTTATAAATAATATACTTGTACCATTGAAATAATTCTTAGAACAGTTTATTATCAAATGATAAGATGAAAAGTATTTCTCTTGACTCGCAACAGATGTCGACGCTAGTTTTAAACAACTCACAGATGGTCAATATGTGGACTGGAGAAGTCGATAAGGCAGAATACTAGTTACCGCATAACCATTTAAAATATATCAGGAACATGCAGACATTGAAAATTCATATGTAACTTGTGTTTTTCATCCGAAATCAAGTAAGAATTACGGGGAATAATTAAGAATATTATTTTTCTCAATACGAAATGAAACCATGACACGAAATCCACTAGTCAACATTCCTTCGAAACTTTTATAGAAAAAATTAGAAATAGTTATTTCATAAATAAGCTGAGAAATATACAATTTATGAGCTTATTATATCAATCCTTTTATTTATCACTAAAAGATGTCCGTTAATTACAGTTATTATTTATTAACATCAATTTATGCATTTATTGATATAATATATTTTATTTTATTGATATGTAGCTTCAACTCAAATAACACTAACACAATATTGTAGACGTTTAGAGCTTATATAACTTTATGATGCGCTGTGCTTAAATCACAATATATCATAAAACATCGCTGAAAATTAAGGCGACTGACTATGATGATCTCAACCTCGCGTGGACCTTTTAGGCTTTGCTGCAGCGTAACAGTTCACGCGCTGGTGAAACTACTTGAGCGCATTCGTATTTAAATACACTATTACGTGTATGTCAATAAGACATTTACATATTTAAATAGATTGTAAAATCTAGTATCTCGGTATAGCACAAAAAGTTATAAAAATCAAATACAGAAATTATTTCAAATAATGGTAACGTACCATGCTGGTATTTTTAATATCATTGTCTGATAATAAAAGAATACATTCTCCGTGGTGATGAAGCTGAATAGCAGCACATTATTTACATCAATTGATTGTTTTACTTTCGTCTCTAGCTGCCTTTTTATTTTCCTTGATTTTCTTTTTTGATAACATAAGCAAGTAAACATGCTAACAGAATACCAGCAACCTGCAAAGCAAAGCCATAAAATTTTGATTAGCTTAGTTATGGAACTAAATTTTTTCAATAATATTTAATAAAAAGATAAAATTCATAGTAAGGCTCAAATAGACCGATGGACTTGTTAGTTGATTTGGATGAAAAAATCAATACACTTATGACGCGTGTTTTACAATCGAGTTACATAAAACTATATCTCAATCAAATTTATATTGGCCGTGACAATGCATCAAAATAAATGTCAGTTTTGGAAACTATAAAAACTGACCTCAACAAAAGCGATGCCGATCCCAACTCCAATTAAAACACTTGCATTTTTTTCAACATTCATGACTAATTCAGAGAAACATCCCCTTTGGTAAGCTTCCGCATTATTGGCGCATGTTCTCACTGTAGTATCTACACAGCAGGAAGCAGGTAATCCATTGGTGATACCAGCCTCCCTTAGCCAATCGGTTGGCGCGTCGATTCCACAACAAGAGAACTGGAAATCATTGTCGAAAAAAATTCATTCCTTTAAGCAAATCATACAGTTCTAAAAATTTGAGTAGCCTAGCTTTGGAGTCTATATAACGGCAGTAATAACAATTTTGTGATCAATGCTTTATACATGTCACTGGAATCGTATCAAATCTTCAGTTACGGAACGACCAAGTAAAATTGACTCCTTTTTAGTTCTTTTGATGTCCTCATTTGTCTTACCCGCATTTGAATAGTATCCCACGCTTGCTGATCTACTTCTTTTTCTTTGTAGTTCCTCATCGATTCCCTTAGAGCATCTTTCATCCCGTCACTGAAATCTTTTTTGAAAACTGCTGCTGCAATGCCGACGGCAAGTTCTATAATGAAAATGATCAACAATGCCACGGCAAACTGAAAAGAATTGATCAAATAATAATATCAGTACGAGCAGAAATATTTGAGAATGGTTAGACCGTCGATGTGTTCAATGTCTCTTTCGTTTTTTTAAATGTTTGTCTAAAATTAATCGAAGGAAGTGTAAAATAATAACATTATCTGGCATTTTACCCCTATTAATAAATTATAGTGTTCTTTGATGGCACCATAGCATCCTAAAAAGGCAATTACAAACACTATTGCACCAGCAACAATAAGCACAATAGGTGGTGCAATTATTCGACCTTCAAGAAAGTGTGAGTATGCATGCACATCGGCGAGCACTAATGCGCCAGCTATTATAATACCAAGCCCTGAAATCTGTAACAGAAATTATGAATAATTAGCTCACTACATGTATTTTATCATTTGCCAGAAATTTATTTGACTTATAAAAACATCATTTTTTGTTTCTTTTTGAAATAAAATCGCCTAAAATTACCTGTGCCGTTATATATATAAGGAATCAATCTTAAAGTGCAGTTATTCTGCGGCATCGAGCTACATTTAATTTAGTGTTTTTATATTTTTTGGATTACGGACCACCAGAAGTTAATAATAATTAGCAATTTTATGACAATAAAGTTATAATCAAAATCAAATTTAAAAATTTCATTGCAGAACTTCTTTTCTTATATGATATACTCTCTTTTCTGATTATGTCATGATGTGCTGTTCTAATAACAAATATATATGTACGCGGAACAATTATACAAAATGTTCTCTGACATGAGATAGAAAGAAATGATGAAGTTAAATAAAATTTGTTTTTTTATTTTAAATTAAATAATTTAAAACAATTCTAAATTAAAAAATTATCATTATAGTACCATTTATCGAAATAAAAAATACAAAAATGTTGTATTTTAATGAATGAGTATGTATGAAAAACTAGATTCTAATATTTTGCTTTGAGTCAAATAGAAGAATCATTTTACTCTTTCATATTTTTTAAAAAACGAGCGCCGAAAAAGTTACACATTATTTTTTATGTCATAAGATTAGAAAATTCATGATAAAACCAATAGTGAATTGATTTGAGCTGTCCGACGGCATATTCATTCTATTTACATAAGATAGATCGATAATAAGCAATCAAATATCAAAACTCAACCAAGGTTGGCCAAATGATATCTAACAATAGTCTAAATAATTTTGATATCATATTTATGCTGTATCACTAGTCGTCCATGATAATGAAATACATTGTCATTGATTTCGCTAGAGAATTCTTATTTATTTATGCGCGTAAAAAATACCGTCCTTTGGTACCATTTTATCGAATATTCTAAGAACGCGCTCTCTCTCAATTTCACGAGTTTGTGATTTTACGGAGTATCGTGAAAATCATAATAATATTCTAGATAATTCCCTGCTTTCTTATGACACTTACATTTTGTTCATGCAAATAGCGTGAAAACGCCGTGATCAGAAACTCAATTAGAAAAGTAAAAGCTTTTAAAAGAAAAGTAATGCTAATCTGAAATTGTAATTTTTTGCTCATAATACCAAAAACCATTATTTTAATTTATATGCTTTTCTAAATATTGAATCTGGTAAAGTTTTGTTAACACGCGGGAGTTAATAAACGTATCAGTCCTACATTCTTTGAGCTGTATGCACTATATTAATTTTTAAAACATAAAATTATGAAAAATATGAATATGACAATGCAGAAAGACGTGGAAAATAGTTAAATTTACCGTTATTTATTTATACTATTTTTATTTGCGAGAAAATTTTTTTAATCCATTACAAAAAAATGGTGAGAAATTGCCTTGTTTCTTTCGCTTCTGTGTAGAACTGCTATGAGCGAAACAATAGTGTCACAAGCATCTGTCAAAAATGGTTCGAGTAAGAAAGTGATTCTAATTTGAAAATATTCCCAAATGGTGTCGAACTGTAGTACTTTTTTACAAAATTTTACATAATCCACATCCCAGACGAAAACATATTTCAATATTGATAACTCAAAGATATACAGTGGACTTTTATAAAAGAAAGTACTGATCGTATTAATTTAATCGATGCTGTTGTTTGATGTTATTTTTAACGTTAGTTATAATTTGATCAAATGTGAAAATCTAAGTTTTTAATAATGATCGCGACTTGGACGCTATTATTGTCAATGTATTATAATCGTTATACTTGCAAAATATTTTTAAATAAAAGGTTTGAACTTACCGCAAATATGACGTTGAAGATAAATAAGATGTATTTAACGGTACTCATGCCACAAGACTCCATTGTTTGTTGCTTCGATCGAGCGGATACAAGAGCTGATACTTTGAAAAAGATGCCAATTTCGCAAAGTTATCGACGGTTATTGTTAAAAAATTTGACGAGAGCTATGGAAAATTAGCGAATATGCGCAGAAAATGGTGTTGTCTACCTGACAGGTAGCTTGGAATATAGTTGATTGATTACAGGCAGGTAGCAGCGGCAGCGATTATAGTTGCGCTTCGCAAACTGAGTATGCGTTGAGCTCGGCGTCGATTCAAACAGTGAGCTTCCGCGCGCGCCTACAAGCGAACGACCGTTCTGATCGATCCACGGCACCTGTACCTCAACGTTGTCGATTGGTCAGACAACGGCGTTCAGCGCCCAGTGGAAAAACGCCATACGAATCCAGCACGCGAATGCCAAAGTAGCTCCCGCACATCTATGAATACGATCTATACCCCTTACCCCTCCATGTCTCTATGGTTACTATATTTCCGTCCCCAGTCCGACCTTCTTTAGAAGTGCCAACACCTATAAAAACAAATCCATACTTATTTTTCACATATTTTTTCTTCCTACTACGCAAATACTTTTCATCTTTACGTTGAATCTTTTGCTAATTGGCATTTGACTATTAAAACGCATATCTTCCTCTCAAACTCTCTTGTAAATATTACAATCTACGATCGATTTTTAATTTTCATTTTTTCCGTACAATCTATAATAATCAGCATTCGTTACAAAATCGATTGACAATTTTCAAAAGAGGTGAAGGGCTAATTTGTTTAACTTTCCTCGCATTCTGGCTTGGGAATATTTTTTTTCTTCAGTGATTAATCGATTATACAATCTGGGTTCCATTTCACTTACTAATTAGTAAAATCCATTTGGTCATAACTAATTTTATAAGAAAATGTGATGTTATATTCGTTTAAAAATTAGTCAATACTGATTTGTTAGTCGGAATAAAAGTAGTTATTAATTTAATGTCATGTAAAAGGTGGAAAAGACCGTCTTAAATATACTACGTTAACTGTGAGTGACGATCGTACTGACCTACACCTACCAAACACCTAAGGTGAAAGAAGGCACACTTTGTGCTTTTTTTCTTTTACTGTAGCAACATACGCAGCACGTTCACTTACAATCAATAAGTATTTCGATCTTATTCGAAGATGACAAAGAACTTCCACTATCAGTTCACATCTTTCTTTGATAACTTGAACGTACCTTCACTCATACTCTATAAAATAACTTCAAATTTTTAATTTTTGTTATTAGGGGAAAAATATAATAAAATGAATAAAATAATATAATGAACGAGACTAATGCGTACAGATACCTAGCGTACATCTGCAGCGTTCCACGTAGATGTATTTTTTGAAGTCACAATAACATTAACAATAACAATATAGCTTTTTGTTAAAACTTTTGATCATTTTATTGTGAAATCGAAACACGCACTTGCTGTATCATTACAAGATATTCACTGTCAAGAATGGCTAACTCACGAAATATATACAAATTTTATCGCTTTAATCGCAAAAAAAGAAAATGACTGACATTCAATGAGGTCATTCAGAAGTAGCTTTAGATATAAAAATTTCAAAATTAATTATTAAATCCATTATTCTGTGACATAGATAAGTACAGTAATTATGGAATGGCGTTGCTCAGATGTATGATATTTTATTTGAAAAATATAATGATTATAATATATTTTTTAAGATTGTTAGGGATTTAAATATTTCTAAAAACTTATATAATACTAAGTGACTCACAGTTCAATTTATTAACTTAGTTTTTTTACAATCATGTAATAGTATTGACAGAAAAGCTTCGAAACAAAATAATTAATTGTTGGAAAGATATATTATGAATATAACCAATAACAACATAGTTAATCTTAAAATAAATATGTATAATCATAATAAGAAATTGGTACATTGTTGAGTTTCAATAAGATAAATTTTAGATATTTACATTGTAATTGAGTTGAATATGAAAAATAATAAATGAATAATTAAAGATACAAAAATTTATTTAAAATGATCAACTATACTCTGGTTTCTACAGTGAATTTATAGGAAATATATTATAAAAATTTATTCGGTTCTGATTTTCCATACTATGTTTGTGAATGATATATTCAATTAAATGTCGGTAAGCATTTTCTTATTTTTTTATCACCAATTTCACCAATACTAAACAGAAACTAAAACTTTTTGACATTCATTTATTACGAATTTTAATAATTTGGCGAATGTACCAGATCACTAAATTTTTATAAACAAAGTTTATCAAAAGTAATGGAAAGAGTGTAAAAAAATTTTTAATCTACACTAGAAATAAAATTCAAATGCAATAGACACAATACTTTATTTACATTTTCATTGAAGTGGGAATGACATACAATCGTCTCTACAATCTTTAGATATACGAAATGATAATTTATGAATTACGAAATAAGAACAATACAACTTCACTTATAATCAATCGTTTCATTTGCTGTAGTGAAAAGTAGAACAATGACGAGAAAAAAATAAAGCCTCCATTTATGATTTATACAATGAAAAATAAATATCTTACTTAGAATAAAACTATTTTAATTTATTTTCTTTTTTGCAGAACGTTAAATGCATTTTAAATGCGACATTGCTCTCTTAAAAAAGACAATCCCAGCAAGTATTAACATAATAAAACAAAAGTAAAGCAAACTATTTTAAATTTTGTTGAAAATTTGTTATAAGTGGAGGTTACAACGTTTTAGTCTCAGAGTACACTTAAAATTTGTAAACAATTAAGCATGAAGAAAACTACTAGACTGTTGTAGAGTTGATAAAACACACAGAAATTTTTAAAATGCTTGTTAACGTAGAATTGAATACCACTACATTCTCAAATTTATTAACACAAAAAGTTTTTACGACGAATATAGTCCTGAAAGTCAAAAGGCACACTTGCCTTATTTAAATTTGTCAAAATAGATAAGAACAAATATTATAAACGTTCTTCTAGTCATTGATTTACTATGCCAAATTATATATTCATTATTAAATATATCAGTAAAAGTAAATGAAGAAAAAATTATTCTTTACAACACATAACGTAAAATCACGTAATGTAATGTGAGCTACACGAAATGTTAAGAAGAAATGTTCATAAGTAATTAAAAAAAAGAATTTGCATCACAGAATTAAAGGACAAACAAAGTTTAGCAATGTAGGATTATTGCACCAAACTTCTATTATCATACTTATTTGATTTGATTTCATGTTATTATTTCAATAACGTTGTGAAAACATTCTACCAAAGTATCGAATAACAAATGTGTTTAGATAGTCACAAAACAACTGGATGCTCATTTAATAGTGACGAATAAATATATGTTAAATATTAAATTTATTCTAATATAAGGATAAATATCTATGATATTTCTTGGCCACGCTTTATATTTTTCATTCAAGCTGATTATTTATTTTTATCTGCTACTTTCAATTATTTGGAGCAATACAAGAGATCAGTATACGTTATAAATACTTGGTCCCTGATGAAGTAAAATGCATAATTTCAATGTTGCAATGAAATAAACGTCGTTTCAAACTTTGAAATTATTAATTGTGACATTGTTAGCATTAAATTAATCATGTGAAACGATAAAATGAAAAACGCCTCAGTTGATTCCTCGAAATATAATGGTTGGCAGTAGACCATTGGCATATTTGCCCTGGTCGCTACCGCAACCACAAATAAAATGTTTGTGAGACGCTAAAATATAGAATATTGATGGATAACAGTGATGTGATGATGCAACTTTAAATTAATATACAAGTTATTTTATCTAGTGCAAATTTTCAATGATAATTAATATCATTAATTATTTTTAGTTATGATATCGATTAGTTCAAATGATAATTGCAGAATAATTATAAGTATTCAACTCTGATAAACAAATTGTTTTTCCTGCATTATTATCAGATTCATGACTTCAATATACTTACTTCCGCATCTCGTATCGCAACGCAATAAATTATATCAAGTTTAACGGTTCCTTAAGTACACTGTACACTTTTTTCCGAGGTGCAACCTAATGGATGTGATGTAATATGGAGCAGGCTACACTAGATATCAAAAGCATCAGTCCATTCTGTTGAATCAAAACAGCAGAGTTAGGCCAATTTCCTTCGGGAGACCTTGCAAAAAAAATCACATATGATCAAATAATAAGAAATAATAAAATATTAAGGAAAAAATATGAAATTCTCAGCATAGAAATAAAAGTGGTTTCAAACTTTTGCAAGCTAAAATCATGTGACAAAATGGATTTTGGCGATTTTTCTAGGTAATGACGGCTTTTTATCTGTGCCAATAAAATAAAGATACTAATGTTTAGCCAAATATATGGTGTAATGGCTTTATAAATATATTTTAATATAAAAATGTACTTCATCTTGAAAACTTTTTCATATAAAAATAGCGTTACACATTGTACCTGATTTAAAATGAAGACATCTTTGTATTTATAATATCCTTTATGTATAAGTCGACAGCCCGTAGCAAGTTGGGTCCAACTCATTCAGTGTACATTTTAAGTAAGTGCAATTCCATCAAACATTAAAGAAAGTTTAAGAAAAAGTAAGAAGCTTTAAAAAGAGCAAAATTTTCGAGGTAAGGAACTGATGAATTAATTAAAGTTTAAAGGGTTATAGCGTTGTGTTGCAACGTAGGTGGATCTGACTAAATTAGCTACATATTATGACTATTTACCTGAACATGCAATTTAGGAGAAAAACTTGAATATCGAAGAATATAATACCGATGAAAAGAGAGGTGCGATTATATTAATGAATAAAAAATAAACCTTTTACTTCAAAGTTGATATTTAAATACTTGACTGAAAATTAAATTAAATTTGGCTTAGAGTTTTCTCAATTGATGCTAGTTATGACGTTTTTCAATTGTCAGATTTTTCAAAGAACAGATTTATTTATCATCAGTCTGCAGGCATATCCCTGTTCCACAAAAAATAAGTCTACGATATGAAAATTGATAATTTTGTTTCAATCACAATTGACAAATAATAGCCCATCCTTCACAAATGTTTCACTGCAGTAATGTTTATTAGTGTGATTTCATCAACGACTTTACGACTATACCTCACTTAAATTGATCAAAGAGCAGTAAATTACTTTTTTAAATAATTTTATACAAAAATTTCATACGTAGAAAATGAATATTATAGATAACTTGTGTTTACATTGAATATAAAATAATATTTCATTCTTTGATAATATTAATAATAGAAGAATATGTTGAAAGTCTAAAATAAAGTGTAACAGAAAATTACAACTTTGTCGATTCGTTCGTTGGCTCTCACTACTGTTAGTCCATTCCCCACTTCAGGTTAAGAATATGTATTTATTTTTGTATGTATTTATCCTGCGGTGAATGAAATTATTGGTAGAGCCAAGAACAGCCGACGACTGCGGATGAGGAGGAGAGACGGCGAACGTAGATTTGAGGGGGGCGGGGTGAGAGTTTTGAGGAGAGTCAGTGCTGGACAGTCGAATCAGGCGCGTCGCCGATTTCTCGACGGGTTGAGAATTATTTTCGGGCGCGGCGTCGCCGGGTTTAAGTTATCGAAGATACACGACCGATGCGAGGAGCGTACTATCAGATTTTGTTGTTGGTGGCTGGGTCACACGGAGCTAGAGTTGAATCTTAAGCACCAGAGCGTGTGAGGATCCACGCGGATGACGCGTGCGACCGTTTATCCGATCAAGAGCAAAACAGCCAGTAACCGGACGCGGGTGATAGCAGCAATAACGACAGCAGTGGCAGGAGAGCAGCCGGAAAAGGAGCAACTAGGAGGCGGTCGACGGGTCGCGAAAGTCGGTGTCCGTATTTCGCTTTCGCTCTCTCTCTCTCTCTCTCTCTCTCTCTCTCTCTCTCTCTGTATGTTCGGGCATCGCGTTCACGCGTGTCGCCGAGCAGTTTTGTTGGCCCCGACGTCGGTCGCGTGTTCGTCGGGCTAAGGGGAAAAAGAATTACTGAGCAGCCTACCGGTAATCCTATTAATGCGTTTGGGCGGATGAGCGTTACTACCGAAACCCTGATCACGTATTGGATTTTATATGTGCGCGTTTCTTTTCTTTTGTTCGGTCTTTTCTGTAATAAAAGTGTTATTTAATCAAGTGTCGCCGTATTTCAACATTAGTTTCGCGCACGACTAAACTACATACCCGGTATATTATTCAGCAGTCGGAGCGTTCGCGCCTCCCGAATTCATCCTTTTTTAAGCGGGCGGCCGCTGGTATAACTCTTCGGGTTATCGGTCGTATTTCTCCGTTACAAAAGGTACAATTTTATTTCCTACTAAACTATATATATCATTCCGCATTCGAATCACACAATTTATTCTTATTCGAAGATCAAATAGTCAGTAACAAGTAATGTGTCACGTTGAGTTTAGATAAAAGTAACTTTTCATTTGTATTTAAAATAAATTTACATCTTTCTATATTTTAAGATGAACTGACAAGCCATAAAAACACTTTTAAGTGAATTCAGGCTCATATTTGATTTAATTGATTGATACAATTTATAATATAAAATATAGAAGTCTATGCCATTTATCAGTATTTCGACAAATAACCTTGCAGAAGAGTGATTTTTAAATCAAACAAATTCTTAATAAGTGTATGAATGGTTCAATGTGTTCGATATTTATAATGACAGTACTTTCCAGGATGGATATTTCAAGGAAATGAAAAAAGTGCGAGTTGAAGTTTAGCATATATATGTGCAATTGGTAACAAAGGTAAAAAATTTCTGGCAAATGTCAAAGTGAGTTATAGACAAACAATTTGGATTACAAGCAAAAGTACATCATTAATGCGGTAGACACATTGGGAAGAGACTCAATACTACTGACATTTGCAAAACTCATATAGAATAGGACCTACAAGATTCCGACGACACCGCAGGCCCAGCGACCACCAGCATTTCCTGTTTCTGTAGATACTGTGCTGTTGCCTTTTCCTAGATCATCCTCTTTCTCATGTACGACGATAGCTCGGCCAATGATGCTACTGGGTCCACTGAGAGAAATCATTGCGTCGGTGATATTAATTAGAGCCGTTCCTTCACTGTCGGCTTTGATATTACCAAGATCACCCACATGACGAACAGTGTCGTCAGGTGCACCATGCTTCACCTGTCAAATGCGTTTTAAGTATGTTAACTACAACTCTTTTGGCACGATACTAAATCTTAATTGACATCGTTAAAACATTCTTCTTATCAATGTCCATACCTTTTCTGGATTGAAATGACTTCCAGCCGATTTGCACCCGCCTGTGATATCACCCTTGGCATGAACATGAAAACCATGATTTGCATCTCTATTCAAGCCGCTAATACTTCCAGTGATCGTTACTGGTCCGTTGGCGATACTTTGAACCAGTCTCAAACTACCGCTGACATTTTGATCTTTTAATTCAGGATCAGGAATAAGTAACACTGATGCAACTAACTCCTGTATCAACGGTAAATTATAAACGTCAATATTTAAAAACCAAGACTATCCTAAAAGTTAATTTAACGAAAAAGCTTTAGCTCATATTATTTCACGTATTGCATTTGAGTCTATAAATAGAGTAATAAACTTGCAGTGAGTTCACTATTGTTATGTTTTGAATCGTAGTCTTAAGCGTTATATAAAAAAATAGATATGTTCATTAAATATAATATCAGTAGAAAATATCGCTCTTCAAATAAAAAGCTTCCTGTATTTTTTTACAAGTTTTTAATTTGAAATAACGTCGATAAAGAATAATTTTTCGATAAAATTTAAATCATTCATTTGAAATATTACCTCAGCAAAAGTAGTGGCAAAAACTCCAACAAGTACTACAATTAATTTGCTCATCTTGATGATTCTGTAACATAAAACAAGAGTCTTAAAATAAAACTAAAATCGAAAAAATACTGGAATTCCATTGCTATAACGTTATGGTAAACGCAAAGTCGTCAATACTTTCGATAATATTTTAGATAAACGTATTTAAAAATGTTCACGATGAGTCAAAAATTGCAACGTATTTATTCTCGTAAAATAGTCTTACAACGATATAAACAAATTATTCAAAATAATTCTAAATGTATAAATTTTCTGCATTACATTTCTTGTAGTTGCGTATTCTCGGCCTTGAATGTACAAGAAATACATATGTTATTGGGTTTTCTCAAAATAAATAATCATCAAACTTTCACAAACTATGTCATGGACAAAAGTTTCAACTGTAATTATGCTCTTAACATCTACAGTATGTAATAAAAATCAACTTACGTATAGATATTTTTATATGGAATAAATTACATTTGCAATTTACAATCGATTCATACATGATTTCTTTAAAGATTTAAATAAACGCATAAAATTGATTGGATGCCATTTTGAAATGATAATGACAATGAGTCTTTGCTATTAATTAATTAAAAATGCAAAGATGCTTACATAATTTTGAGCAACTCTCAATTTGATAATGGTTTGTGGTAATGATAGCTTTGACCTTGATCTGAATCTATCAGGTTTTCTATCAAATTAAAAAACAAAAAAATTAAATGAAAGAAAAAGTGAAAGTACGACGTCAAGGCCGAAGCGAAACGCTAAATTCAATCTACGCACGAATCTGCAACTGACTCGGATGCGGAGGTTGGTCCTACTTATATTAGCAGGCATGGTCATACGCTAGCGTTGCCCCCTCGTGAATTTGTTCTGTACCAACCAGTCACTTTTCGGAGCGAATCAATTTTGTCAATAACACAGAATTTGAGTTTGTTTGGAAAAGATTGTTCTAAATATTATTTTGATATATTATCCTATATTGCAGGATGGATTTTTTGTCTTTAATTAGCTAAATTATGAACTTTAATCGTAAGCATGTGCCTATTAGCATTTATAGCATTGACATATGTTATATCCAGTATATAATATACATAAATTGTTCTATTAAATATCAATTAATTTCATTGATTAATTAATATAATATATTTGTCAAACGCCATTGAGTTAAGCTTATGAATAAGTACATTGACATGGAAGTATAAGGTGTACGAAGTATATGAAGTGATAGTCGATGCTATGGCAAATTAACATATTTATGTAATTGAAGGTCACTATATAGACAACTAAATTGACTCAATATAAAAATGGACATTATAACTTTAATTTCCGAATGAACTATCCTGAAAGTGATGACGAAGATTGTCAATCTCGAACAGAAAAAAAAACGCATAATACATGTACTCGTATAAACTGCGTATAAACACCAACGCCTTTTCAAGTAATCTACTATATATATATACTACACTGTATATTGACTATATAATGAGAACTATGAATAAGCACAGTTGCTACCTGATTATGAATATCATAAAACTTTCCACTGCTAAATTGGACAAGATTCAATTTTTACACCAATAAATTGTTCATTTTACTTATAAACTATTTCCAATTGTGGTTTATTTTCTATACACTGAAGTTACAACTAAAAATTATAAAATTTTATAGAATTAATTAGTATTATTAAAAAAATTAATTTTAATCAATATTCTTTTTTTACACGACATAGTATATACTTTATTTTTACGAACCATTATATATTACGTCAACCTTTAACAAACAAAATTTTATAATGAGACAAGTGTCAAAAGTTTTCTACGTAGAATAGTTTTATTTTTATTTTTGTCTTACGAAAATGAAACATAATATTTATTTAATTAATAGCTGTACACATACACACACACACACATACACACACACACACACACACACACCAGTTAATAAATATTGAGTTAAATATCATATTACCTCCCATTCATATAAATCCTCTTATACTATTTACATTTTCTAAAAAAACGATATTATGTATATATCTGCAACCTCTGATCACGTTTCTTCTTTCATCTTTTTGCAGTCTTCTTATTTCTCTCCCAACCATACCAGACCTCTTCCTTTTTCGCCCTTTTTTACTTCCCTCTTCTTTTTTCCTATCAGTTTTTCAAAGATTCTAACATATTCGCAGTTTCCAGTGTCTAATTTTCCTGTTAACAACTGTCTTAACTGCTCAAATATTTTCTCTCTCGTTCTTTCCTTGCTCTATCGATCCACTGCCTGATACCACTGATTTTTTATATGCTTTCTTGCTACTTCACATATGCTGATATACTGGAAATTTTCCTCTTCTGTTTTTCTGCTTTTCTTCTTTTTGAAGCCCTTTCCCGTCTAAACTTATGCTTCTCCTTCTTATTTTTGCCTATTCCTCCTTGATATTTTCTGGTATTCCTGTTTCTTGCCAGTATTCCTTCCTTCCTCTTGAAATATTTCAATTTTTAGTATTTTCAGTATCCCGATCGGTCTAATTTGCTTCATCTTATCTGTATCTCTTGCTCAACTCTACTTTTCAGATTTTTTCTATATGATTAATTTTTCCCTATCCATTTGTTTTTTTATTTGTTCCAGGAGTCTGCCATTTCCTATCAACTTAACAATGTCTGTCTATTCCCTTCCCTATTTGGTCGGATTACCGTTGTTCCGGATTGAGTTTATGCACGTTGAAAAACCCAATAGAGGCTTTGTTTCGATGGTGTGCGTCAGTAATCCCAAGAAACGGCATAGCTCGACCGCGGAGACTGAACATCATCTTTCCTTTTTTTTTTGTCTCTTTTAATAGTTTATTGTCTACAGTCTGTGTTTACCTCGCTTCTGTCGCACACGTGTCGCCGAAAAATATGGTAGTCTAGCGGTACGGCTTAGCAATTAAAGAAAACTCGAGCGTTATATTACTATTAGCGGTCATAAAAACTTTCGACAGTTTTACGAGCACGAAAAGGGCAGGCGCAAATGGAAATTCCTTTGATAATTGTGTAATTTAAGTTAGTATTATAGGTATACATTGTAATGTATTGTCTACCGCGTGTAATTTGCTTATTTGTATTGCGTGTTTTTATATTGTACGATGATATTTGCTTCAGTAATGGAAACACGGGTTAACAATTAGCAATTCATAAGAAGTTGTGCGTCTCCTCCGCGCTCTTGCTCGTCATGACTAGCATGGCTGCTGCATAGTTGCAGCCAGGGCGGTGAGCCCCGCAACTCGGAGATCATCTCCGAGACTGCATTGACCTCGGACCCTTGGAGAAGGTCGCACAGTTCGGAAGTTGCACAAGGCATAACCGAGGCTGTTTGGGCAGCTCACGAGCAAGGCTGAAGGAGAGAACGCGATAGAGGACGTTAAAAGGAGAAAGATGAGCACCACGCGGGTGCGCACGGTCCAGTGGGTCCTATGGCCACGCCCACGACTGCGACGGAAAAGCAAATAGACAATGGACGAGCTAGCATGAATGAAATGCGCGAAAAAGCAAATTAAAAACTGGCACTCCGAGCTCAGCTTCGGTTCAGGCAACTTCGTCTGACTGGCTTAAGTGCGCGAGCGATCTTCGTCCGTGTATTCCATAATAAAGTATTGTCATAAAATTGAATAATTATCTTATTTATTCCCACTCACCCAACCTCCACACCCGTTTTTTATTCCTTTGAATTCCTTTTTTAAGTATACGAGGGGGAGTCAATAAGTCTTTACAAAATCCAAGAGATGGCGCTCGTCACGCTTAAATTATGATGTTTTTGGCAAGCAATACTACTAACTAGATATCGTAGAAAGTTTCAGCTCGATTCATTAAATCGTTTTTTTGTGAGCGTTGGTTGAACAAAAAGTTATTGGTTTATTTGAAAAATGGAAAAAACAGAGTTTCGAGCGGTGATAAAACATTTTCATTTAAAAGGCCTTACACCAAAAGAAGTCATAGTTGAGTTGAACGCCGTTCATGGCAAGTCTGCGTTTAAGACTGTTTATAACTGGGTAAATGAACTTAAACGCGGCCGTACAACAACAAAAGATGAACCTCGTTCAGGACGCCCCGTAGAAGTGAGTACGCCCGAAATGGTCAACAAAATCCACGATATGGTGTTGAGTGATAGAAGATTAAAATTGCGAGAATTAGTTGAGGCCATAGGGGTATCAAAGGGTACAATCATTTCAATTTTGTATGAAAAATTGGGGATGAAAAAATATCAGCAAGATGGGTGCCGCGTTTGTTCACTGTTGAAAACAAACGAACCCGTGTGGTCACCTCTGAGGCTCTATTGGCACGCATACGTCGTAATCCGGAGGACTTTTGGCGTCAACTCGTAACTGTAGACGAAACATGGGTACACCACTACACTCCTGAAACCAAAGAACAGTCCAAACAATGGATTACCGCAGGAAAACCAGCACCAAAGAAGGCAAAGACAGTAAAGTCAGCTGGCAAGATTATGGCCACGGTTTTCTGGGATGCGTATGGAATCATCTACATCTTGCGACTACTTGGAAAAGGACCAGACGATCACTGTATCTACATCTTGCGACTACTTGGAAAAGGGCCAGACAATCACTGGACAATATTATGCGTCATTATTAGGTTAGCTGAAAGAACAAATCAGAGAAAAACGTCCTCACTTGAACAAAAAAATGCCTCTTTCTTCAAGACAATGCTCAAGTTCACAAGTGTGCAGTTTTGATGGAAAAATTTACGATTTAAAGTTCGAATTAATTGACCATCCACCATATTCGCCTGATTTGGCTCCCAGTGGCTTTTTCTTATTTCCTAACGTCAAAAAATGGGTTGCCGGACAACGATTCACGTCGAATGAAGAAGTCACGCCGAAACAAATGCCTATTTTGAGGGTTTTCAGAAATCATATTTTTCTGATGGCTTAAAGGAACTGGAAGGCCGTTTAATTAAATGTGTCGACCTATAAGAAGATTATGTTGAAAAATAAAAAAAATTACATACGCAAAACTTTTTTTTCCTTCTTTTTGTAAAGACTTATTGACCCACCCTCGTATCTTAAGTAGTCTATAATCTTCCATCTCAAGGATCTCTATCTTATAGCGTTCTTAAACGTTTCTATATTTAAACATTCTATCCCCACTTTCATTTTCCATATGTATTTTCCACATGTGTTCCTATTTAGACCTAATGTCATTTTTGCTACTTTTCCCTGCACCCTTTTCATTTCTTCTTACGATGTCCATCTCAAGACCTCCGCCCAGTCTAGATAACCATCTTTCCTAATTACTATATTTTCTCTAGTGAGTTCAATCTCGCGCTTACCATTAGCCCCATGTTGCATTTATCATGTTCTGAGCCTTTTGATGCATCTTTTTAATGTGTCTTCTGTATCCTCTTTTCGCATTAAATCGGAAACAAGAATTTGTATTTATTTGTCATCTCTATCTTTTCTTTTCAGTAGTGAAATCCAGTTCCCTTTCCAACTCTGCCTCCTTTCCTTATCATCACTTCGGTTTTCTTATCGATTACCGCAAATTTCAATCCGTATACCCTATGATTTCCTTCTACTCTACGTCTTTCTTTTCTTCGCTCTCATACTCCATTCAGGTCGAACAGGTACATTCCAAACAGTGTAGGACTAATCGTACATTCTTCTTTCATCTCTTTTCTCGTGATAAAACTCGTTGACATTCTTTTCCCAATGATTATTTTGCATACTGTCTTTCTGTATATTTCTTCTATTATTTTTATCAATTTTCCATACATGCCCCCATTTCCCAAGTCTTTCCACCAACATTTTTCTGTCCACTGTGTCGAATACTCTTTCATAGTCCACAGATGCTAAGTAAATCTTCTCTTTTTCATGTTTTAGTTTATGTCCTATTATACTATTCAGTGTAAATATGTGATCTTTTGTTCCTCTTTTTGCGCTGAATCTTGCTTGGCTCTCTTTCATCACCTTGTTGTTGGTATCTTCTATCCGATATCCATCAGTACTACTCTCCTGTAGTTTTCCGCTTTCTA